ACCGCGTGATGTGTGCCAGTTTGCGAGTAGAATCCAGGGCAAATCAGTGCTGAAACTGTCGAAAAGCTTCTGTCTTGAGATGCAAACGAACGCATGTTGGCCACTTCCCCTGCCATCCTGTGTGGATTCGCAAGCAGGCGCTCCAGCATAACGTTTGTGGAAGCCAGCGACCTTCAGCACATATCTTGTCCCAGTGACCCAACCTAGCAAGTGCCGAGTCGACAGCGCTTTCTCTGCTGGTCGTCTTTGAAAAGATGTTCTTCGAGTTTTTGAACCCTTGTCCCCCCCAAACCTTCTCATGGGGCTTCATACCAAAGAGGCGTCTGAACCCAAGTACAAAGCAGGTCGAGTAGTCCTCACCATTGTTGTGGCAAGGACGAAAGTCCGGAAGCCCTGGCGGCGAGACAGCGGAAGCACCGCATCCTTACTGCTCTGCCGAGGGCCCAGTCCTCTCCGGTGGGATCCGCAAGCTTGGGCTCAGAGAGCTCAAGATGACGTTTGGCTGATGAGTGGGAAGTTCCGGGAGCGAGCTCTCTGTTCACTTTCGGGTTTTCTTGAGAGTTTCTAACGTTCACGGGCTATGGCTCTCCAGTGCCAATGGCAATAAGATTTCAAACCTGTGCTTCGGACATCTTTAATCGTGAAATTCAGCGTATTTCAACGTTGTGGTCGTCACCTTGGGTTCAAAATCCCTAGTCGTTTCAATGATCAGGATTTGCTGCCTGAAGAGGGGCTTGTTGTGAAGTAGTGAACAGGAGTGCAAGTACTAGACCTTGAGCCCTTCAGCGAGAGGAAGAAGCCGACCACAGATCAGCTCCGACGTCGCTTCACAGAGCCCGTGGGCCCAGGGGGGCGAGGAAACGGGCTGCAGTTTTTGCAGATGTTTTCGGGGTCAGACTCCTGTCAGGTTTTCATTCAGGTTCTGCACCGAGCGTTTTGAGACGGTGTGCAAGCCGTGCTTGTATCGCTTGTTGTCATGTGTTGGAGTGCAGCCCAAACACTAACATTGAGGAGCACCTTTTTTGGGGACAGGTTGCTTAGATGAGTTGTATGTGCAAGTCGAATTGGTTATGGCTTGAGAATGGAGCCTGCAGCAGCATTTTATTTCTGAACATTTTTACTGGCCCTCGCTGTTTCTCAACCGAAAGTTCCGCAGAAACTCCTGCAGTGGCTTTCCAGCAGGTTTGACCTCAACTCCGACGGCACCTTGGACAAGTCTGAGGTTCGTCGGCTGGTGCGTCAAGGAAGGCGCCAAGCTTTTAGGGTTTAGGGTTTAGGGTTTGGGGTTTAGGGTTTAGGGTTCAGGGTTCAGGGTTCAGGGTTTTGACAATACCATGTCTTACCAGCCTAGTGCAACCCAGCGCTTGCTTTGTGTGGGATGTTTCCTCTGCCTCAAAACGCGTTCTCGGGCCCCTCCCCCCCGCTTCATGGTTTCCCCCCCAAACAATCACCGTCATTTGTAAAATACCATGAACCACAGGAAACCACCAACGTAAGCCCTCAACCCGAGACCCTGAACCCCAAGCCCTAAAACCTAAACCCACCACGAACCACAGGGTGGGAAGAGGGGAAACCCGAAGCCTTAATCCTAAACCTAGACTCTAAACCCCTAAGCCCTACAGCCAGACTTCAAAACCCTAAACCTTAAACCCGAAGCCCACCACGAATGAAAGAAGATGCACAACAGGGGGGGGGGGGGGGGGGGGGAAACCTTTGACGCCAAACGGGCGGGGGGGGGGATTCTGCGCAAATTAGCAAGCCCACATTGTGTCTTTGCCGTCATCACCCTGAGCGGCAAAAGGAAGTCTTCTTGCATCGAAACCTTCGAGCCGTCCAATGCTAGTGAGGTTCTCTTGGCTACATGTCTTGCCGATCAAGGAACGATCGAAATTTAGAGACCAGTGCTCCAACATGACTGATCTTGGTGCTGGCATGGTGGCTGCCAGTTAAAGCATGCTGGCGCATCTGGTCCATTGACGGGCTTATAGGGTTTGCAAGGTTGATGGAGTTCATGGGTTTATTGGGCTTTGTGTTTCCCCTAGGCTGTAGGGTTGAGCGACCTGCTAGACTGGGGGCGCCGGAGACGCCAGGCGCCTGACCATAGAATCACTTGCAGGGGTGGTCAAAGCTCAGGGGCAGTGGGGACAATAGCCGGGACCCGGCCTGAATGCAAAAACGATTGTTCCCCACTGGGCATCCAGGTTAGTTTTGGACAGAGCGAAGGTAAAGCCAGAAAGAAAAATCAGGTGGAGGGAGAACAGGAACATGAGTGGAAACGTTTTGCATCCACCATGCGAGGCTGGAAGAAGTGATGCAACACACGTGGACACCCTTCAGAGGATCAAACATCTGAAAAGCATCAGAAGACTCCTTTGTTTCATTTCAGAAGTTAGCTACACACACAAAGCATGTCTGATGCAATCAGCGCGAGACCGGTGCCGTAAACCTTGGCGCGTTGCAAGCTGCCAGGCCGGGAACGGGCGACGCCGAGGTCGAGGCTCTTTTCAAGCAGCTGGACCGGAACGGCCGCAGCCTTGGCGAAGCCTGAGGGCATTCAGGGGAGGACTTCGCTGCAGAGTTTTCAAGAGCTTCGAAGGCGGCCCAACAACCCTTGACAGAAACGGTTCTCGCGACTGCAAGCTTGTTGTGGCTTATGGCCCCTGGGAGTCTTGACGGGGGAGCTGGTCGCAACCACTTTGGATGCAAAAGAACCGGACGCCCTCTTAGAGCACCGGCCCGAGTTCTCCACAACAGAGCTCTCGGTGCCGTGCGTGCAAAAACCGCCATGACTCATCGCATACGAAATGTCACTCCGAACAAATGTAAGCCGCAACAGTTTACCCCGAATATGGCGGTCCGATGCGTTGATAGCTCTTCCGCACGGCTGACCTATCTGACCTGAAACGCTCCATCTGCATTGCCAACCATGACCTCATCTGCTTCGGTGTCTTTGCCAAGCCAGGCACCATTGAAACGTTGAGGGCTCCGTTCGGAACGTTGGTTGTCTTCCACTCAAAGTACTGTCTTTGCATAAGAAGACATTCACCAAACATCCCAGAATCTGTAGTCAATCTGGGCCTGAATTCGAGGGGCCGGCTCTTCCCCTTTTATCGGTCCTCAGAATCCTCGTCGTTCCAGACGACCAGTCCAACCTGTTTAAGGTTAAGGGGTTTGCTAGAACTCAGCGGTAAGAGGAAAGGCCTTGCTGCAGCCGCAATGGGTTACTCGCTTGATGCTATGAAAGGGTTAAAGTTACAATGCTGCACTTGCGCTGAAATCCTGCTATTGAGCAGCCGCCTTGTCTTGGTGATTCTTGCTGTCAGTCCGGTTGTTCTTTGGAGCGCACGTCGGAGATTTCCTTCTGGCATAATCTGGCATACATGAAGCAGACAGGCGACGGCCGTGTGAGCTTCAACGAGCTCGTGGCCTGGGTCTTCTCCGCGGAGGCGGCGCCGTTCTGCCGGCCGTGCCATCGCTCAGAAGCATGTTAGCTGCCAATTTTCTCGTGTCCATCAATGCTGAGGCCTTGCATGTCGAAGCCGCGGCTAATTTTGTGGCATTTGCGTTCGGATCTGTGTTGGCCTCATCAAGTGCTTTCAGGTTTGTTTTGGTTTGCAGCCTCGAGCAGAAGCATTCTCAAGTAGATTGTGTGTCAACACAGCGACCGTAGTGTTGTTGTAAAGATTTGTAAAGCACAAGGCACGACAGGTATTGCAGCAGCCGCCAGGGGCAAGAAGCTTTTCACGGGGCAAGCCCATCTTCCCCAATTCTTGTTCCCACTCCCCATGGCCAGTGTGCCGGTTGTGTGCTACGAACTCCACTCCACGAACCACAGCCACCAGCAGATACCAGCAGTGTTACGCAGTGTTACGTTCCAAACGTGCCCTGGCAGGGCCCCGACGCTGAAGAGAGCGAGCGGCTATTCACCGGCCGGCAGTCCAGCCGCCGGGGAAGCGCACCCTGAGAATCAGGTCGAGGTCGCCTTAGCACCGTTAGGCAGAATAAGTAGGCTTATTAGGCAGAATGAGTTGGGTTCCACAGGCTTCAACATGGTTTAACCCACTTTGTGATGCCTTGTGATGACGGGCATCATCTCGCGTCATAAGCTCTGGCGGGGTTTGGGCGCCTTCAAGAAATCTTGGCGCCTGGCTGTCCTGAGTACACCGGCGTACTTTGAGCAACTGCTTGGACTGTTTGGAAGAATTCGCTGAGGCGTCCCTTCCTGTCCTCAAATTTCGAGAGGTTGGGCAAAGGACCATGAAGACGAGGCTGATTTCATGTGAACTGAAGATGCTAGTTGTAGTTGACTCCTGCAGTCCCAAAATACCAAGATTATTCGTACGTGGTCTTAACTGAGGTTCATTGTTGGACGCTAAGTGCTGACAGCTCCAAGTTCCAGTCTACTGTGCTGACTCTGTGATGACTATTGTAGTTGCGGAATGAGTTCTTTTCTGACTTTCTTAGAATTTTAAGGAGCTTTCCTTGCAGCTGAGTTTGCCGATTGCACATGTTCGCACACGGTTGCACACTGGAGTTCAGAAGTCTTGAGTTGCCTCGACAGTGGTCCGCCCTTCCCAGAGCTCACAAAGTGGAGCTAAGCATTCGGCCATGTAATTCGCTTGACCTTCAAGAGGTGCGGCGCCAAAATGCAGCTTGATTCTCATGGAGTGGCTTCGGGTTTTGGTTCGGGGGCTTTGGGCCTTCGCGATTTGTGCTCTGTGACATGGTGACCAGTTCAGCATTCTCGAATCTGCGGACGCTGACGGCTCAAGCAAAGTGGATTTTACGTTAGGTTTGCCAACTACTCCGTGTGAGACATGCTTCGCTTTACTACTTTGATGGCCTTGTTAGGGCCTTGGCTCAGCAGTGCGGCCCGCTACAATGTGGCCACGGATGAGGGTCACAAAGAGGGTCACAAGGTGCGCCAGAAGGGGGGAGCCCCTCCTTTTGTCCAGACGGATCCCATTGTGGTCATTGGCGGTGGCCCAGCAGGCGTTCACATGGCCAGCCGCATGAAGCAGCTTGGCTATACCAACATCAGGGTGCTTGAAAGGACGGACAGGGTCGGCGGCAAGTCTTTGACCCTGTATCGGAACTACACTGGCGAGTGCATACAGCAAAAGGATCACATGGGGAAGGTTGACACCAGCTCATGTGTCGCTCACGAGATGGGCACCTGCTTCTTGCACAACGGATACCACACCATTCGTGACCTGGTGGATGAGTACAACCTGAGCTGGGTGGTTGCACCAGAGGGGCGTGCCATGTTCTCCCACTATGCTAAAGACCAGTGGCATTCTCAGTCCATGCACGACTTTGTCTCCGCTTCGATCATGGACGGCATCAAACAGAAAAAGATCTCAGTGCCTTTCTGGGCACTTACCGAGGAGCTCAAGGTGTCTGTAGCACTTGTAGAGGCAGTCGCGAAGTACAACGCGCTGCACAAAGAGATTGTCGGGGAGGTCGAGTTCTCAATGCCGTCGAGGCTGCCTCAGGAAAGCCTTGAGAGGATCAACATGACCTTCCTCGAGTTCTTGGAGGGTAACGATTTGCACGCGTTGTCAGGCTCCTCGCCGCCGAATTAAGTTCTGTGAGATCCAGCTAGAGGCTTGAACCCTGAAGCAGCTTGATGGTTCCGAGAAAGCTCAACGGCAACCGACTGCTGCAACTTTGATTCCCTCTTGAGTTGCAGTTAGTGTTCGCACTCGCCCGAGGGGGGGGGGGAGCGACGCGATGTCAGGCTTTCTCATGTTCGCGCATGCCGCCCAGGGCTACGGGTACGTTACCACCATTCCTGCCTTTTACGGGCTTTGGTGGATTTCCCCGGAGCTCCTGAATGGATACGTGCAGATGCCATGACCTGCAGCAGAACTCTTTCTCCTAAGCATTTTCCTGCTCTGAACATCGATGCTAAGATATATAGGATATGGTATGCTTTTGCTTTCCTCAATGTAATAGTCACCATGCCATTCGGCCCGGTTGTGAATCTAGGATGAGCTTTCGGCAGCAGTTGGAGTCTCTGTACGATCCGCACTCCACCTTTCTGCAAAGTATTCGTGGCCGATGGGTGCACGACCTCACTTGGTTGATGGTCGGTGGGACGGCTGATGTTGTCAAACGAACTACTACCATGCTGCCAGAGGGCTACCAAAAAATTTGGACCACTATGGCCGAAAGCGACGCTCTGGATGTCAGATATGGTGTGGAGATCTTGGAAATAGATCGCCAGCTTCACGATCCCACTGCGCCGGTTCGGATCAAGTACACGCAGTCATCCAACCCGACTGAGGTCATCGAGGAAGAGTACAAATTCCTCATATACTCCGGGCCCCACGCACATGCGCACTTCGGGAATTGTTACGTATCAGTTTGAATCACGCCTCCTTAAGTTGTAGAGAATCCTTGTTTTCATGTTCCATGTAGTGCACAAGGCACAAGTACGTCAAGGACCTGGCAACAGAGGAAGAAACGATCTTCTCGCAGTTGAAGAGTTTCGTCTTGGCCACCACCATTTACAAAAGCGATCAGGTTCTGAAGATGCATTCAACATGACTGGGGGGTTGCAATCTGTTGCATTCATTGCTTTGATCCCTGGCTTCTTACAGATGCATGTTGTTTTTTCGTCAGGTTCGTTTTTGAGGCGTTTTGTGGCTTCCCGGCAGGTTTTTGACTACACAGATCAACTGGATGCCCCCATCATGTACAGTGCCGACAAGATGTCTGGACCGCACCAGGACTTGTAGTCGCCCACAGGTACATTCCCTAAATCAGAGATAACGGAGAGAAAATAAGGGCATGACCACAGGACGTGGGACTCTTGTGTCTTAGGGTGTTCTTGCTTCTGAAGGATGGTACATGGTATGCGGACCGCTATGATGCAGCCATCTTCTCCGACGAGTTGGCCTTCAGGAATCAAACCCGCGTGGGCTATCAGTTCTATGAAAACTTCTGCGAGGTGAACGCGTTGCCAAACAGCTGCTTTGTTATCAAGATACGGCGTTGGAGGGATGGGAATGGATCTTGCGTAGGTGCATCTCAGTGCATCTCAGTGCATCTCAGCGCATCTCTTGCTTTCAGTGGCAGGTGGATTCCCTGCTCTGCGACTCCGACCGAACACCGAATCAGAACTTCCACATGGAAGTTTCCCAGAAGCTTCCAGGCTTAGGACTTCGAAGGTGTGAAGCAAACAGGGTAAGATTGTGTATCGAGTCTGTCCGCTGAGAAGCGAGTCACCCTCTCTGTATTCGCTTTCATCTTGGTAGCCAAGGCTTCTCGACAAGTTTCGTGCAGAACTTGCCGAGCAGCGGGTCAAGAATGTTCGGGTCCTTGGCCAGTATCCGTGGCCCTACTTCCATCACTTCCCCAACTCTGCCGTCATGGAGGGCCTCCCTTGGGACCTGTTCGAGATGCAAGGCTCTCGCAAGACGTGGTGGATCGGTGCAAGTGCATGCTTCGAGTCTGTCCATGATGTGACGAACTACAACTTGCAACTCCTGCAGTCCTACCTAGGAGCCACGGTGAGCAAGGGCCGTGTGAGCTTTGAGTAGGCCCGAAGACGGCAGGACCCACCCAATGGGATGCCGAGGAAGATGGAGCCGCGTGCTGTTTTTCATGACATAGAGCTAGCATTCCAATCACTATCCCAACTACAAGCAGGCTGTGAAAGGTTGAGTTACAAGCAGGCTGTGAAAGGTGAAGTTGCCGTGTCCACGAAGCACTTGCTCTGCCTGCTACACCAACGAACCAAATTCGTTGCACAGTGCGCATGTTCCTGTGGACATCCTCTCTGTCCCACACGCATATGGGCTCAAGGCACGGAACCCCTTGTGCCTGACAATGAACCGATAACTGATCTATTCGCACGTTGGTGTGTTGAAGCTTGGCGGCATGTCGCTCTTACCACTTGGGGGTGAAAACGAAGATGAGCCTTCCTTCGAGCAGCTGCGTGGACTCAGGAATCGAGTGCTTGGACTCCGCAGGTGCGAGCCCAACACGCTGCGAAAGTCTACTGGTAGGTTATTCCTTGCCGAGCTCAGTTCGTCAAGCTGCTTCCAGGAGACGAAATGCGCAAGAGCCACATTTTGCCCTTGCTGGTGTCCAGGGCTTGGATATCAGTTGGAGACTCCAACAACTATTGTAGCGCAGTAGACTCCAAGATTTCTTGACCAACCCGCCGTTTCTGCAATGGGATGGAAGCTAAGGTCTTGTGTCGAGCTCATCAGTTGCGACAAGGAGCACCAAAATTTGAAGAATCTGCTTTGAGCTCGTGCGCCGCTGCCTTCGACATGCTTGAATGCTGACTTTTGCAGGTTGTGAAGTCGCCAGTATCTGCACTGGTGGACGATGATCCTTGTTTGCGCTGCAGCCCTGGCTTTGCCTCTTATAAGTATAAAATTCGGGACGCTGATGCTGCTACTGGATGTTTGTGATTCAAAGTGTCAGCGTGCTACGCTTGCTTCTTGGGCATGATTGTTTGCAGGTGATCCCGGCAGCCAGAGCTTTCAATGCGGTGCTTGCCCTACCCATCAACCTTCTGAACCGCCAGTGGATTCTAGAAGGATACTGTGCAAATGCACCAGGCACAGCGCTTCTGCAGAGTGGAAATCGGCGCCTTCCACCTCGCAAGGCATCCTGCAACAGCGGAAGCAATGTTGCGCACTAGCTGCTGATTCCTGGTATTGCCTGACATTTAGTGCTTGATCAGGCCGCAAAGCGTGGCCACGGCAATGAGGCACATGTGAAGCATGACCCGCCGTCGGCTTTTTTTGTGTTTCCAGGTTGTTCCAACTGGTTTTCATGAAGCTTCCTTGCCAGGCCCGCGCCCTGCTCGAAGAGGTGCTGGAAACGGCCGAGAAGGCTCCAGGGTCTTCAGGTCCTCAATATTCAGTTTTCGTCATTTCCATCAGTTTACGTCAGTTTCTGTTCATGACCCTCAACCCTGACCTACACGCTGGCAGGCTAGCCGTAATGCCAGCTTCTTGGACCAGCTTCGCCATCTGATTGCAGGAAACTCAACGGACGCGCGTGTAGCTACAGCGGCTCGTGTGCATGCTTGGGGGGGTTGAAGGATGTTGAAGGTTTTTTTGAGGGGTGCTCTCCCCGACCTGACAGGTTTCCGATCCGCGAGTCCACAGAGCTCACGGTGTGCAGCTCTTGCAGGAGCGGGCCAATTTCATTGAGTCATCGTGCCTGGAGTGCTTGTGACTCCGCAGGAGCATGTGGTGAGGATATCTGCTTGCGATGCTGAGCTCCGGCTGCGACTCTTGGAATGAACATCGGCCTTTGTTGCATTCCAACCTCGAAAGTGCAGAGTTCACAGGGATCAGATGTACCGACACATCGATTGCTTCAGTGATCTGAATTCAGGACAAGAGAGCGACTCAGAGCTCACTGGCCTCCATGATCAGTGGCTGCATCTGCACAAGGACGCCGGCCTTGCTCGATGCCTTCGAGCGTTGCTTTTCCGTGCTTTCTGTGTTTTCCACTGGCTGTTCATAATTTTAACGCTACGCGACCCGCCTCGGCCCGGCCCAGCGCATCCGCGTGAGCATGGTGATTCCGCAGCGCCCAAGTCGCTGGACCCCAAGCAATAAGGGTTGGGTTTAGGGTTTAGGGTTGAGGGTTAGTTTAGGATTGAGGGCTTAGGGCTCCAGGTTCACGCTTTGGGGTTTAGGGTTTTTTTGGGTTTAGGGTTCAAGAGACGGTTCGGCTTGGATTGATCGTAGGGTTGAGCCAGGCCCCTCAGGGGGGGGTGGGGGGGGGAAAATTTATTTCTCAGGAGGGGGGGTGGGTGGGGAATGGGGGTGGGGGGGGGGGAAGGGGGGGGGGGGAGGGGGGTTTGTTAAGGTTCAAGGTTTAGGGTTTAGGTTCAAGCTTAGACTCTTCGGCTCGTGTAATGCATGCCCGGCCGTGCTCACACCACTTCAACCTCGAAAACCCGCTCACCATATTTTCCTGAGAGGGGGGTAGGGCTGGGGGGGTAGGCGGGGGCGTGGGGGGGGGGGGGTGGGTAGGGGGGGGGGGGAAGGGGGGGAGGTGGGGGGGGGGGTAAAAGGGGGCCCTGCTTCAACTGCCTCTGGTCCTGGCGAACCGTCCGCTTGCGGACCCCGGTTTCCTAGGGGGGGTACCTATTTGAGGCAAAAAAAAGGGGTTTTGGGTGGGGGAGGATTTGGGAGGGGGGGTGCCTGTTCTGACAACCTATACACTATACAACTCCGGCCCGAGGCCTCGGCGGATTTTAAGGCCACATGGTACAACTGATCAAAGCTCCATGAGACGCCTAAGTAGAGGACCACAAGTTGCGCTTGGTGAGGCTTGTGAAGCTGACGAGCTCGTCCTGCAGCACAAGGTCGACTCATGTCCCGGGCTGAGTCTTCTCAGCCTGCGAAAGAAGCGCAAGAAGGGAAGAAGCTGAAAGCTTTCTCTGCCGATGCCAGGCCAGACAACGACGGTGACTTGCCTGAGGTACAGTCGAAGAAAGTTTTCCTTGGGAGCATGTCTCGAGGTTGTCGTGAGGATGTTTGAAAGTCTGGCCATGGAGCGTTTGACTGAGGAGAGTCGCCAGAACCAAACATCGGGCTGTGTGGAGCAGCAAAGGCTTTGCAGCACCTGCTCAGACCTTGTTGCTTGCTGGGGACGCGGGATGCTTCGAGGTTGCTGCGGAACAAGACGCAAGAGTGCTTGTCCATCCGAGCAGCAATGCGATCGACCGGATGTGCTCGAGCATCTCAGGCTTGGTCCTTGAGGCTGATTGCTCTACGGATTACAAGCTTCAGTGCCTCCGAGCAGGCTGCGGAATCATGCCGCACATACACCCTCTGCCGCACGCGCATGTCCGTCGCGGCACCCTCGGATATTGTTTGTACTACTAGCACAGGAGCTCCAGGTTCTGACATGTGGCAAGGGCCACAGGGGTAGTTCACCGCAGACACGGATTAGGTTGATCTTTGCCAGCAAGCCTGGGCTTGTCCTTGAAAGTGTTCAAGATCCCACAACCCCAAAACCATCTCAATAAGCCCATCTCGGATGGTCCTCAGAAACATCGTGGTCTGTGAGGCTGTTTTGTCTTCCAGTTTTTGAGTACTTTGAACGTTAGACGTCCATTGTGCGGTAAATCGCCATGAGGCATTGAAGAGTGCAACGAAAGCGGTTAAAGCAGCCGATGCGAGTGAACACGACCAGGCAAGCGGCGACATCGGGTGACTGTGGGGGACTGTTGGGTGTTTGGCGAGATGATCATTTTGTTTCGTGGTTTGACACGTGCAGCTTTTGCTTGGCTCAAGACTTGAGAATGTGTGATGCTTGCAGCCGCAATCTCTAAGCTTTCTAGGTTTCCAAGCGTCGCTTGCAGACTGTGGCAACATGTGAGAACTTTTGTAGGCCGAGCCATGCCCCGTAGCACGCTTGTGGGCAACAGTAGGTTAAAGACCTTCTCTGGTTTGTGGTCGTGCCCTCATGGCGGCGGCTGCGGTCAGTGAGGCAGAGCTCCCCTTGCCAGCCGTTGCATTCCAGGAGGAGAGCCTGCAGAGCTCTTAGGGCCTTTGTGGGAAATTCAGTGCTCCTTGCTGCTATAAAATATCGCCCGGGGGGCTCAGGGGCCTGGCCAAGGTTTGATGTCACCGACGAGACGGTAGACGCTGTGCTTCTGTTTCTGGGCTTGGACAATGCAGGCTGGCCTGCGCAACAATCGGTTTCTGCAGTTTCTGTCTGTTCTTTTCTCCAGGGGTTCAACACGAATTCTGCTATGACCGCTGCCTTTGTCTTTTCGTACCTGGTACTTGTAAGTTTGCCCAGTTAAGGCTTTCTGAAGCCTGCAAAAGTTGTGTCTTGACTATGCCTTTCTTCTGCTATTCTTGCCCTGTACGTTTGTATCCCTTAGCATCGTCAATGCAGCAGACCGCTGCCATGAACAGTTCAGCTTGCTGGCAGGCAAAACAACTTTGTTGCAGATGTTGAAGAATGAGACTTGGGAGCAACTGGATCTCTTCATGTGCTTCAGAGCCTATCAGCCACGTGCGTCCTTTAAACCCGAAACCCTGAAACCTAAGCCCTAAACCCTTCACCCTAAACCCGAAAGCTGACCCAAGGATCGCATGGTGGCACAAGTCCCGACGCTCCACCCGCAAAGTGAGGAGCTCATCATTGACAAGGCCGTCGAAAGCCTGTCCACCCACGCCCTTCCCCCCCAGGAGGGTCTAGGGTTTAGGGTATAGGGTTTAGGGTCTAGGGTTGGAGTAGAGGGCAGCTGACAGCCAACAAGTGGAGCCCCCCAACGCTCAGGAGCTCTCCTTCCCAAAGCCAATCCCTTGCCTTCTCCATCTGAAAGCCCTACTTAAGTATCCTGAGCATCATCTGAAAGCCCTACAATATCTGAGACACTCTTCAAGCACAAATCTTAGACCTAGACTACATCCAGAGGATTGCCAGGTGCAGGAAGCCGAGTAGAGCTTGAGAGCCATGCCCTAAGTCCGAAGGCTTAGCGTGGCCCTGCAAGGTCCGGTACAAGGCATTCGACTTGGCCGGCCACGAGATCGGAAGGCGGCTGTGGAAGGAGCAAGAAACTGTTCCTTTGTTCCTTTCGGGGCATCTCGCTACCGTCTTTGCCGCACCACCTTTGCCACTTAGACTGAGTTGCCTTTTTGATGAGCTTGTAGGATTACTTTCCAGTTGCCAGCGCCATTGTCTTCTTGGTGGACTCCGCAGATCGGAGCAGGCACTCCTGCCATCTACCCAAAATTCCAAGCCCGATATAGTGGCTTCGCAGAGGTTTCCGGAGGCTGCCGAAGAGCTGCGGAATCTTCTGCAGGCACTTAGTGGCAGGTTCTACGTAGCAAGGATAGCAACAGGGGCTTTGTGTCAGCTGCCATCGCGCCGCTTGTGACAGGAGAAGGCCCTGAGTGCTGTGCCGATTGCAATACTAGCGCAGAAGGCCGCGGCCAGCATGGAAGGTGATGTTTTCGGATGTTCCCCTTTGTACTAACAGTCTTTCATAGGGATTATAGTACCCCCCTACTATAATCCCTATTGAGGACTGCTAGTATAAAGGGGGAACATCCCAAGTGATGTTTCCAGAGTCTTCGGATGACGTTGGGCTGTGGCGACTGTGAGGTTGATCTGCCTGGAGCAGCATCCAAAGAAGAGTTTGCTGGTTGCGCCCTCAATTCTGTTGCCCCAGAGGGATCTATGCGACGTACAGTAGCAGCAGATAAGGGACTCTGACTCTCAGTTGCGGAAATGACTTCCTCACGTCCTCCTTCCGTCGAAGTAGGGCTCGAAGCGTCAGCAAGGTGCCCTGGGCGTCCCAAGATCCTCGGATCGCAGCATCGAGGTGTTCATGTGCATCTCAGATGCATCGCAGACACTACGCAGATGACTTGTGCACAAAGCTGACCTCACATGTGCCGTCCCCCCACCAGAAGGCAACGCTATGTCATGTGGGGACTTGAGGCAGCGTGATGGAGCGCAAGGGTTCCGAGCTCAGGAAGGGTTTCATTCCGCAAAGCACAACTGGCATTCTGATGAGAGTCACATGTGCAATGCTCGCCAAGTGGGAAATCTGTTCTTGTTGAAGCCTTTTCGGCCCAATCATTTACGCCATACATATTCTGTTAGGGTGCTTTCTTGCACCAGCTTCAGTTATCGTACCAACACAGTTTGTGTCTCGGCTGTATAGGGTTTTGGGTTTCGGGTTTGCCCAGCTTAAGTTCTCTTGTGTAGTTCTAGTTCTTATGGAATAGGACGGATCAACAGGCATAGGAGTAGGTGTAGGAGTAGGTGTAGGAGTAGGAGTAGGAGTAGGAGAAGGAGTAGAAGCAGGAGTAGGAGGAGTGGGAGTAGTGGGAGTCGTAGCAGGAGCAGCAGTAGCAGTGGCAGCAGCAGCAGCAGGAGGAGGAGTCGGAGTAGGAGTAGGAGTAGGCATAGGAGTAGGCGTAGGCGTAGGCGTAGGCGTAGGTGTAGAGGAGTAGGAGTAGGAGTAGGAGTAGGAGTAGGAGTAGGAGTAGGAGTAGGAGTAGGAGTAGGAGTAGGAGTAGGAGTAGGAGTAGGAGTAGGAGTAGGAGTAGGAGTAGGAGTAGGAGTAGGAGTCTGCGAGTGGGAGTAGGAGTCTGGGAGCGGGAGTAGGAGTCTGGGAGTGGGAGAGTGGGAGAGTGGGAGAGTGGGAGAGTGGGAGAGTGGGAGAGTGGGAGAGTGGGAGAGTGGGAGAGTGGGAGAGTGGGAGAGTGGGAGAGTGGGAGAGGTGGGAGAGTGGAGAGTGGGAGAGTGGGGAGAGTGGAGTGAGAGGGAGTGTGGGAGAGTGGGAGAGGGAGAGTGAGTGGGAGTGGGGGAGTGGGGGAGTGGGGGAGTGGGGGAGTGGGGGAGTGGGGGAGTGGGGGAGTGGGGGAGTGGGGGAGTTGGGGAGTTGGGGAGTTGGGGAGTGGAGGAGGAGCAGGAGAGAGGAGGTGGAGGAGGAGGGGGAGGAGGAGGAGGAGCGGGCATGGGAGTGCTGGGAGAAGTAGGAGTAGTAGGAGTAGCTGAAGAAATGAGTGGTAGGAGTAGCAGGAGTCGAAGATGTCCTGCCAAGGCCTCTCAACATGTCAAGCACAGACATCTTCAGCTTCGCTCGCAAAGCGTCGGAAGTGGTGCTCATTGGAGGGGCCTACATTTCTGTTCCCTGGCCAGGTTTGAATCTACACAGTGCGCAACTAGCAGTTCCAAGCTTTAACCCCCCCTAGTTCGCTAGCACTAAGGTTTCGGCGGGCCTCATCACATTCAACAAGTACCTGATGCATGAACATCGTTTCCCACACGCCCTGCATCTCACTGCGGTGCACATGGCTGTGACCACAGTTCTTTCCCTGACGCTGTACAGCACCATGCCCTCCCTTTATCCCTCCATGGACAAGGCCCTCGAAAATCGAGGCTTGTTGACCCGATTTCTGGCCCCGCTTGGCATCCTCTTCGCTGTGGCACTGGCCTGCTCGAACCAGGCTTACCTGTTCTCCAGTGTCGCCTTCCTGCAGTTCTGCAAGCAGGGCAACATTGCCTTCATCTTCTTCGCATCATGCGCCCTCGGGCTGCAGACCTTCAGCTGGCAGAAGATGCTGATTTTGTCCATTGTCGTGACCGGCTGCTGCATTTGTGCCCACGGGGAGATCAAATTCCAGATGCTGGGTCTGATCTTCCAGCTGTCTTCCCAAGTCGCGGAGTCTTCCAAAAACCTGCTGGGCGAGATCGTGCTTACTGGTGCAGGGCTCAAGCTGGATGTCCTGACCTTTGTTCTGTTTCAGGCGCCATTCTCTCTACTTCCGCTGTTGATCGGAGTCGTTTGGACATGGTCGCCAGAAGTCCTGCAAGACTTCATGGGCATGTGGTGGGTCGTCCTTCTGAACGCTGTCGTCGCTTTCTGTCTCAACGTCCTGATTGCCGTCACCCTGAAGAGACTTTCTGCGCTTGCCTTCGTGATCATCGGTGTCGTGAAGGCTTGGATATCGAACAACATATCCCCTGCTCGTGCATCCCTAGTCAGCTTGTGAGTTAACTAGATACGTTGCGAGTGGGCTCGTTATAATCGCGCGACCAGGATGTCACCATTGTGGCCAGCTCTAGCATGATATTCAATGACCCGATCTCGCACCAGCAGTTCATCGGTTTCAGTGCCTGCGCCCTAGTACATTCAACGGCACGTCTCTTGCTTGTGTTCCAATGCATGTCAGAGGTCACAATCTGTGGCATAGCTCTCTGGAGCCACCTGAAGCTCAAGGAGCAGTGCGCCAAGGACTACAGAATCTCACCCGGGTCTGTTTTAGCAGTTACGGTGAACTACATCTCTCTTGCCAAGACTGCACTTGAGCAGGAAGACAAGGCTTCTGAGACGACACCGCTGACGGATCGTGCGGAGAAGAAGCCGGTGGCTGCCTCAGGCCGAAGTGCAGCCGAAGGACTAAGGCAACCGAGGGTGCATGAAGGCTGGCATCATTGGGGATGGTGCGTTGTGCGCCGGACCTGATCTAACAGTATCCCAAGTAGAACTGCAATGCTTATCTCATAGCTCTTCGCGGCGCTTGCCCGCAACAGGGCTTTGCTGTTGTTGAGGCTGTGGCTGCAAGAAAGTCTCCTTTCTCAGTTCTGGGTCCAAAAACCGTCGGTGGGACTGTGACGTCCATGTTGGCATGCTCTGAGTCTTTTTGTGGCTTGGGGCTTCCGGTCTAGGACTGCTCTTTCTGACAGTGCAGCCGTTTGGTGTTAAGGACCCTCAACCCTTGGAAGGGGTTTTGTTGCCTGCTGTGAATCTCTTTTGGTCCTCGTCAGCCATTGTCAGGTCGAGAATGCTTGATCCTCGTCAGCCAGCCATTGTCAGGTCGAGAACGCTTGAACAAGATTCTTGACCATGATAGCCACGGGTTGAGACTCCAGCGGAAAGAGGCTGCGAAAATGCTCTCTGTGCGGAAGTGATTCTTGCTGCGGGTTGTGCGCGGAAATATTTGTGCATTGTGTGCATCTTGAACTCAGCACCAGTGCCACAAGGTTATGCTGATGTCATGCGGTGGATTCAGGAGCGCGGGGGCATGTTGTATGGGGTGTTCGGAGCGGTAATGCTTGCGCACGACTCTCCTGTTGCTTGCACTGATTCCTGGAGCAAGACCACATGCCTTGCATCTGGAAGGAGCAGCTGTTGGCAACCCACATCACAGTTCCCCACTCTCAAGATCAGCCACCAGGAGTGTCGTGCTGACTGCCTAGCTAACAAGGGAGGGTCTACATTGCTGTTCTTGGTGAGTGCACATAATGTTTTATGGTTTCATTCCAGATCAGTGAGTGTGCTCATTTGGGGATGCTCGTGAAAAATCTTCCCTCATATCCTCTCAAGCACATGGGAAATTTGAATTGTCCCGCCTGTTCTTTCCCTCTCTGTCAAGTGACACTTCCGAGCTCGCCCAATGATGGCCACGTCGACTTCGCAAGTTCAAGCTTGGGGACAAACGAGCGTCAACTGGGTGTCTTAAGTGAAGGTCATCGGGGCGGGCCGGTTCATGTGGCGAGGTTAGGCCCTGCATGCGGACAACATCGGGGAGCCCGGACTTGGACTTTGCATGAGGTTGCCGCCTCAGAGGAAGCTGCCGGGCTGATCGCTTTAGAGTCCTTGAAGCAAGAGTCCTGCCACAGCACTCCAGCCTGGGGACTGGCACAACCGACATGGTCTGGCTTGCGTTTCAAAGATGAATGCGTCACACCGTCCACAACACCCGGCCTCCTGAACGACGTATGACCTGGCCTATGACCAAACCAATCAGGGCCGCCAATCTGTTGGGAAAACTGCTTGCCCGGTGGCCGTCGGCCTGGCGTTCCATGTTCTTGTCTCAATTGTTTCGGTAGGGCCTCGTCTTTCCTTGCCTCTTTGATGGCACCGGGCCCGATCAACCCATCTGCCATGAAATCCGAAGCGGCAAAAGTGCTCTGGCGCTCACGCATGCGCACTCTTCGACGATGAGTAGTTTGAATCCGATAAGGCTAGTTGCCATTTTCGTAAACTCAGCAACTCACATCAAGTTCATTGATTGGGATTCGGGGTTCGTATTTTCGTCCCTTGATCGATTCTCAAGGAATGTTGTGATTTGTATGATTTGTACGATTGATCGTCATTGGGGGACAAGTACTCCGTCAGTTCGTGGTGGGCCCACGGCTTGTCTCAGGAGCCGACGCTGAGATTGACGATGATCTGGTGTAACTCAGTGTGGACTCAGCGAAGTCGCTCATGCGATGGACGGGCGGAACAGGCCCAGGTCCTCACCTCAGCTTGATCGGTCACGACATATTGTATGATGCAATTCTCCTCAGGGATTTGTTGCTGCACGGGCAATCAACGCGTTCTGCCTTGTGAAAGGCCCCTGACGTGTGAGGAGGCTTGCGCAGGCAGCAGCTTTGGCAGAGTCAAAGAATGCAGAGTCTGGTGAGTTTGCCACGTTGGTGATGAAGGATTCTCGTCACCTTCTGGTCAACAAGCGGTCCTTGACAAGTGTGCCGGCGCATGATTTTCCACGCTGTGCAGGCGCACTGAACAAACCTCATGTACAGCTGAGAACGCGGAAAGGAAAAAGAAGTCTGAACTTCGGAAGCTTCTTCATTGCTTGATATTGCTGGTAGTGCGGCTAGACGAAGGCGGCGTGGGCGTAAGGTTCCCACTAGAATAACCGATGACCATCAATGACCCCCCACGCTCAAGAAATAACAGCTTGCTCGGCCAGGCACGCTGGCTCACATTTGCTCTCTCCAAGTGCCTCCAAAAACGTCTAAGTGCTGATCTCGGAATCTCGGGTTCATCCGGTTCGAGATGCAAGGATTTGTTGAGGATCAGGCGAAACAAAGGTTTCAGGGCAGCCTTTGTGTTGTGGAAGCCGGGCATGACGTTTGTGATTGACGCGTTGGGGCACCGATGCCTCTTAGGTGACATGCACTTCAACCATTCCGACGCGTGCTGCACTGAGTGAAGCAGTGGTCCCACATGTGGAACCCCCTTTTGTATTCTGAGCCCCCTGGAAGAAGCCGAAAGGACCTAGTCACTAGCCACAGTGCATTGCTGCTTCTGGTTTTGCTTTCGTTGCGAGAGGCTTGTGCCTCTGAGGCTGCTGGTGGCAAGGGACTGCAAAGCCCTAGCCGAGAAGGAAGCTGAAGCGGATCAGCTCAAGGACTCGGAGACGGGTTTTGTAACGGGGTCTCTTGGAGCTGTCACCCTGTCCTCCTTTGACTCCTTTGGGCTCGAAGAAGGATGGTTCCGAGCAGTCCGAGGGTTCCGAGTAGCCCTTGGCTCTCCCTGGCCTTGGTGCTCGTGGCGTTAAGCACACTCCGCCCCGCGCTTCTCGCAGTGCTTCCCATGAGTGAGGTGAGTGAGCCCTCTTTAAAGGGCTCGAGGGGCCCCTCCAGCCCCTCGGGGCTGCTTGTGCTTGGGCTCAACCCGGGCCTCCAGACCATCTTGCGCCTGCGCGCGCTGGACCTGGGTCAGGACTGGGGATATGAAAGGGGACATGACAGCCCACTCATGGTCAGGTCCTGAGTGTTCCGAGCCCTCGTGTCCCCCGAGGTGAACCGGGCAGAAGCAGCAATGACGGGCGTTGGCGGCAAGGGTCAAAATGCCGCCAAGGCTGCTCAGACATTGCTGAGCAAGCTGCGGCCAGAGAGCATGTGTGCCGTGATGGTGGCGCAGTTTCTTGGTGGGACCACCGGTGATGAGGTGCAGCGTCTCCTGTCGCAGCAGGGTATCCAAGACATTACAACCCAGACGGGTGCCATGACTCGACAGCTGGTAACGCTGGTGGACTATGCTGCGGGTCCTGCCTCCGGCAGTCACGTTGATCCGGTGGTCACCGAACTCATCGCTCCCTCGCAGCCGATCCATGACGCTGCATCACGGGAGATGTTGGCAAAAGTTACAGCACCTTGGACTTGCGCAAGGCCATTGGGACATAGGCCTCAAGCCCGAACCAGCTCAACCTTTCCTCCCAACATCGGTGCTTTCTACTGCCCGAAAATCCTCTCTCGTGCTCCCACTAAGGAAGCTGCTCCAAGCTTTAAGTGCATTCTGCTGATGGGCACCTGGCCGCCCCACGGCTGACTGTAAGGCATTTACAGCTTTTTTCGTTGTTTAAGGTACTCTTCTGTATCTGACAAGTCTAGCATAGCTGTAAATGAACCAGGTGGACGTTTCCTGGTGGCACTTCTGGTTTTGAGGTACCGGTAGCCTCATGATGAACTTAAGGACCTAGAATCTGGGAGTAACTGTAAGAGGTAAACATGAGGTGAACTTGCATAAGCCTGGCTTACTAAGTTTTACATTCGTCAGGCTTAGGCTCAGAATTCAATGGGACACATCATGGCAACTATGACGAACTTGGTGTGCGAAACGCGCAAACCACAGGAGTGGCACATCTGCTGAGATCTACGGGGCCGCCGCGGCTGCCAAGGCATCTGGCGCCCAGTGCTTGCTGGATGCCGTGAAGCCGGTGGAGGCACTCGTGATGTCTCGAATATGTTGAGGTTGCTTTTCGAAGCTTCGTTGATGTTTGCGGCCTTCCCGTACGAATTTCGGATTTCAAGGCTATGGGAGGCAGGACCTAGGATGGCGTAGGAGGGATAAAAGTGTCGAGCGATCTGGAGCACTTGTCGCTGAGATGCGAGGCCAGGTGGTCAAGTTGTGGTGCTTCGGGTTCTTGGGCTTGTTTGATCTCTCGCAGTCAAGCATTCCTTGCAAGTTCAAGCGCAATGGCCATGCCCTGAGAGGACATTAGCAATCTGCTCGCAAGTGGGAACGTCGATATCTACAAGGTTCATCTGCTGACACATGCACGGGCAATCGTTGAGTCATTTGTCACATACGGTGAAAAACATGAACCATCAGCCACTGAAACCGTAACAGAGCCTGACTGATTGTGGTAAGGCCGCCGGTAATGTAGATGTGTGCGACAGCTTACATCTCAAGCCATTCCCAAATCTCAGGTCAATGCCATGGAGGTGTGCACGTTGATGGGCATGGTCAGCGCCCAGGGTGTAAGAGAAGGAGAGGTCCATGAACATCAAGTTCGAGAGGCTGTGTCAAAGATGCCGCTCAGACTTCACTGAACACGATCGTGCGTCGGTGCGTTGAGGGATGTTGAGAGGCAGTGTTGCATACTAAAGCTTCTAAAGAGACCGAAAGAGTGTGATGAGACTTACTTTGACGAGGTTCGACCGGTATCCGGGAGTGAGGCATGTGGCCATCACCGTGCCTGGCTTGCAAGTTGATTCCAAGACACTCATGATCTCGTTCTTGCCTTTTCCCACCCAGAATTGAGCAAGTTTGGGGGCTCGAGATTTTTTGTCAGCAGCTGCCACTGCGTACAGTGGCAGTTTAGCTTCTCCTGCTGCACTTCCGCCTGCGAAGACCGGAAATGTAGTGCACCTTGTGGCAGCAGCCCCCTGGTATGACAGCTGCATGAAGTGTTAAGAGTGCTTAAGCTGGAGACAGAGGGCTCTTATCTATGTAAACCCTACACCCTAAGCCCCACCACCCTAAACCCTAGCCCCTAAACTCTAAAAAACTACACCCCAAGCCCTAAAGCCCTAAACCCTAATTAGGAGATTTAGGGTTCCAGTTTCCTGGCAAAGGACGGTCCTCGGGCGGCCTTCCTCTTCTCAAGGGAATCTGCCGTTCGCTACGACATCCCCTCGGTAGACTGCAGCCTGGCAGCAGTGGGATGCGAGCTTCGTATGAAGGGATTCCCAAGTTAGCATACAGCCAAAGCCCATATCAAACCATATAAAACCATAAAAGACCATATAAAACCCATAAACGACCCTATATAATTAGAACCCATAAAAAACCCTAAAACCCCTAAAAGCCCCCCACAGCCCAGGCCTCAATCCGATTGGTGCCGGAGACACCGTGGCAGGCGTGATGATGGCTTCCTGGTGCTCGGGGCTAGCAGGCGACTTTCAGGAGCTCCAAGCCATGGGCCGCTGAACATGTGGAGAATATATATATATATATATATATATGCACACACACACACACACATACACATCCGCACACACCCGACACAGGCCCACTCACCCACCCACCTTGCATTACGAGCCCCAGTCGAACCTCGAACTCCGTAGAATCTGACGCCAACGGGCGGTCTGAGAAGTTTGCATAGTTTGCGGTAGTTCGCTCTACCTGCAAAGGGCAGCCGCCCTCGAATATTCAAAGTTCGCGTCAGCTTCGGAGCTTCCGGGTGTCCATTCAAGACATCTAGCGAAAGCCTTGCTATGTCTTTCGGCCCGCCTTAGCTCAGATGGCTTGAAGATTGGGATCCCAGACCAGCACAGTTGCCGCATTGAACCGCTCACTCTGAGTTTGGACACATCTCCGGTGCATACGTATTGTGTCTTCTTCTCCTTTTATACTGACCTCCTCGACTCCAATGGCTGGATGACGCCTGTGGACTGCATGTCGCTGGATGTCTGTAATGCTGCAAGGGAGCACTTTCCAAACGCTCTGAAAAATTTCAGAAAATAAACAATTTGAGCACGTGAGCTATAACCCTGGCATTGCGCCATCGTGCGCCACGCCATGGCTATGGCTGCAGCCGCAGGGACTTCGAGAGGCAGCTGCTACGCTTACGTCAACCGCATGCCCTGGCCATGCTCATGGCAGGACTCGGACGCGTGTCTGTGTGTGAGGGTCGGTGTGTTTGTTGTCATGGAAGACGACGCCAGGACCCAGGACGAGCGAATTGAGCACTTTGATGGCATTTGCTGACCGCTGAATGCTGCCTGCGTCGTGCTTTCCCAATCCGGCGAAGTCCAACTTGGGGAAAGCCGCCGACGCAACCGAGACAGCGCGTATCCAAGGCAGTTGGAGCCTTTCTTGAAGGAAGCAACTACAAGCCTAGTTGCTGCGTGGGCGAAGTGTTTCAACATGCAGCAACAGCTCGACCCTCAGCAATCAAGAGTTATGACCAATTCCGTTGTCAGCTGCGGAGATCTACAGCTCGAACCGCCGTTCTGTCACCTCACGTGTGAGCTGACCTTCCAGTGTAAGTCCCGAAAAACTCACACCAGCGGACATGGCCACCAACTCAGCTCGTGCATGTGGACTTCTGGGTTTCAGGTGGCGCCTTTGAGGTTGAGCTGGGTTGAGTTTGGTTTGCGCATTTTGGAGCACGGACAGCGGTGGCGGAGACTTCACTGGTGCCCAGGCTGATGAGGCGGAGGTAGCCAAATAGCCGTGCCTTTTTGGAAGGAAAGCTGTGCCTATCGTAGGCTGTGAAGTCACGCGTGAAATTCAAGTTGGACAGCTGCCTAGCTAATCACACAGCCTTGCCATGTCAACAGATCAACTCAAGGCCAAAACAAGCCGAACTTCCAAACTCAGAAGTGCAGAGTCCCCAAAGCCGTATCAGAGCCTTCCCAACTATAAACGACTGGGCCGCCTTTGGTCGATCTACTCGTCTTGTTTGCCTCCGATTCGTCAGGGGCAACCCTTCTCGGATGAAAGTTCGGCCACTGGGCTGCCCTCTGGAGGACGCTGTGTGGAGGGATCGAATGCGCTCCTCGGTTGCGTGGTTCAACAAGATGGCGCAGCCCTCTCTCCGGGAAAAGGTTTTCATGTCTATGGTTCAAGGCGGAGGGACAACCTCTAACTTGACTTCCTTCCTGGAGTTCAGAGGTTCTCCTCTTCAATGATGAGGAAGTGTAGCTTTCCTGTCACAACAGGAAGGAAATACAGTTTATTTCCTGCCCCACCGCAGCGCCCCACACCATCCCACACCACCCCACCCCGCCCACACCGCCCACTGGTGTCCGCCACTGCTCATTGACAGCTACGACTGCGCTCGTGAACCTGTGGACGCCTCAATCTGCTTTGCCTGATGCTGCGAAACCTGCATCTTGTGTTCTCATGTTTCATGTGGGTGTGGAGACCAGGCTTGGCGCAGCATATCTTGTAATGGTTTCCTCTGCACCTCCTCGGCAAGAAGAAGTAGTGTGAAGTGAAGCGCAAGGAAGGGAGGGATTGAGACATTTTTACGTAAGCGCTTGACACACTGAAACCCTCAAGCACCTGAGCAGGACGAATGCTGCAGGCCTGAGTGGGCCTGTCTTTTTTTCCACCCCCTAAAGCTTTTTTCCCACCCCCCAGCTTTTAATCCACCCCCCGATAGCTTTTTTTTCACCCCCCTGTGGCGGCTTTTTTTCCACCCCCCCGGAAGATTTTTTTCCACCCCCGGAAAAGCTTTTCCCCCGCCCCCGGCAGCTTTTGTTCTGCCCCCGGCAGCTTCTTTCAAGCCCCCGGCAGCTTCTTTCAAGCCCCCAAAAGCTTTCGATTGACCCCCTCCCTCCTTTTTTCGACCCTCTCCCCTCGGACCCTTCGGGGCCCTGCTTTTCTTCCTGCTGCCACCAGCAGTAGCACCACACGACTATTACCATTACTACTACCACCCCCACTACTACGACTACCACGACTATTACGACCACCGCCATTATTATTATTACTATCATTACTAGTACTACCACTACTACCACTACTACCACTACTACCACTACTACCACTACTACCACTACTACCACTACTACTACTACTACTACTACTACTACTACTACTACTACTACTACTACTACTACTACTACTACTACTACTACTACTACTACTACTACTACTACTACTACTACTACTACTACTACTACTACTACTACTACTACTACTACTAACTACTACTACTACTACTACTACTACTACTACTACTACTACTACTACTACTACTACTACTACTACTACTACTACTACTACTACTACTACTACTACTACTACTACTACTACTACTACTACTACTACTACTACTACTACTACTACTACTACTACTACTACTACTACTACTACTACTACTACCGCTCTGCACATGCACCGAGTTCATGCAGCACGCAGAGTGCGAACACATTGTCTTCGTCAAGGCGTTGGAAGAAGACGCAGATGCAGAAAACCTTAATGAGGTGCCTATCCTGCGGAAAAAAGGACGTAAGGGCAGACGGAGAAAGCAAGTCCGCGCCTGCAGCAAAGCGTCGCAAGCAGCAGAAGTAGGTGCTGACGCTGCGACAAAAGTTGCCCCCGCTGAGTGAGCCCGCAGCTGCAGCCAACCGTCGCAAGCGAGCGCTGGCGTTGTGGAAAAAAACATATATAGCCATTCCAAACCCATGATACGAACATCGCGTTTGCAAAGGGGGTATAGGGGAGGGCGCCCATGGGGCAGACCGATCATGAATCATGAATGTAGCAAGTCCAAGTCAGAAAACGCGCCCGAAAGGAGAAATGTTGATGCGGCTCCCCGCCGCTAAAACTTTCGCCCTAAACCCTAAACCCTAAAAAGCCCTAAGCCCTAGAACGCCCTAAGCCCTAAACCATAAAAAAAGCTTACTTCGAGGCATATGAATCTCTGTTAAACCCATCATGCTAGCATTGGGTTTGCAAATGGGGGGGGCTGCGCCCCCCCCAACCCCCCGGCTTTTTTCAAGCCGTGCA